CTTGTTTCCCTGATAGCTATAATCTCCAACTATTGAAATGTAATGTCAATCGACATCTACAGATGTCCTAATCTATTCCCTGTTCTTCTCTTCAGTTAGCACGAAATCGTAAAGTTATCCCGCTCTAGAGTTTGAAAGTACTGGCTTTTTTCAACTACTGACACTACTAGAATGTGCAGTTTCTAAAATCCGCTCAGAATTTTTTTTTACGATAATGTTCAGCCAGTACATGGCCCGAGAGCCACTCGTGGTAGAGGGTTACAGAGTAAAAGGTACAGTTTATGGCGATATGTGCGGAAGATAACGGTTGACCCTAGACTTGAACAGGTTAAAATTTTAGTGATCGAGGAAGCATTCTCTTGGGAGTCTCAGTGGTTTCTGGGAAGAAGTTGCTCGAGTATGGCGGGTCTTAGTCGTGAAGGTTAGAACAGAGGGGACTAAACTATGTGGTTTTAATGGAAATAGCGATAGAGTTATAAGAATGGGATTGTTGGTTGGAAAATAATACTTCACCCACAAGGACCCGGAGACTCTTTTGGACTCAACACTGGAAGGTGAAGTCTGGCCAGCTCTTGCCCATATATGGCAGCTCTTGCCCATATATGGCCACAGTAAATAACAGGTTGGCTCTGTGGATTTTAAATAGACAAATGATGCCTGACGATTGCAATGGTAAACAAGACCTAACCATAGGACCACCCCTGCAGAGTGTGTTGCGAAAAGAATATTTAATCTCCACCAGTGATAAAAGTCAATGTTCGATCGCGTATATAATGGCGTAATTGGGCACCTCGAGGCGGTGAAATGGTCAGTAACCTTGTCTCGCTAAAACAATTTCGAGTAGTGAGGTCGATCCTCACTGAGCGCCTATTACTTTCGGCCTTGTGCCACATCTAAACTACGCTTGGAAAATCACTATAATGGCGTAATTTATAGTGCTCATTTTTTGGACAGTCATAATATAATTTTATTTTTCAACGCTCTTTGGCGTACTCTTAACCATGAGAGAGTGTTTCACATGAACGATACCATCAGTTGAAGAAGTGACAAGACTTTCGGACCACTCTGTACATTGAAATTAATGACAATTGAATTGGGCTAACTAAACAGCCGTATGTAAATGGGAGATGTGAATGAAAAGCAAACAAATGTCGCTGTTGATTAAATAAAAAGGAAAGATAAACGTTTCTAGGTTAATATCGAATAAAATATACAAAACCTCATTCGCTATATTTCTATCCGGGCGAGACATTTAATCTGGCCGAAAAAAAAGTTGACTGGCGAATTTTGAAAAAATGTGAAAGAATATGAAGCACAAATAATACATGAACTTTCGGAAATAATTACAGCTAAATCTTATCCTATATTCCTTCGTGGACGATCATGACTCTCCACAACTTCCTATCCATTATAGCTAGTCGTCCTGGGTAAGATGTTAAACTACATCAGCGTCCTACGTAAGACAATAAACTACATCCAACAGCAACTCCTCTGATCAGGAGGTTTTGAGGAGCGTGGAACCACCTCTTAATTGCTGGTGTTCCCAGGTCCACCCTGACCTGGGGTGGCAGCACCTGTTAGGGTCCCAGCTATGGGCACATAGTTAACTATTACCAGCAATACTTTTTTGAAAAAAATTATTACCAGCAATACAATTTTGAAGGAAAAGTATTACCAGAAATAGATTTTAGACAAAACAAAATATTACCAGCAATAAAAAATTTTGTCAGCATTAAATAACCCATTGAGGTTGATATACCGTAAATCAAAATAAATCAAACCATTATAGCTGGAAACAATGTTTGTCTCCGTATGCGTTCTCTTTGTTCTGCTATTCATTTATGCAAACTCGTTCGGTAGGTACTCGATGTTTTTACTCTGACCAACAATATATCCTGTGTGTTTTAAATTCTCTTAGCCATTTTTCTCATTATGTGTCCTAGAACTTTCAACCACCTTTTTCTTGTTCTAAGTTTAAGTATCGTTTTTGTTTCTATTTCCCTTAAAACTTCCTCATTGCTCACATGTTATGTCGATGGTATTCTTAGTATCCATTAGTAAAACCAAATTTCCGTTGCCTCAAGTCTCTTTTTCAACTTTGAAGTCACTGCCATGTTGAACGACTGATACTACTCTACATTTCAACAATCCAAACCTCCTACTGCATCTTACTAACTTTTACACACTTTACCGTCGTGACACGTATCTAAGCAATGAAATAGCCTAACACAGCATACGATTAATCTGCGTCTCTTTGCTTTCAATCATTTTTTATCATTTCTATCTTGATCTCTGATGAAGTTTTAATAAAGTGAAACATGTTAGATTAAGATCTGTTTCTTACTTGTTCGTCATCCTTTCAATCTCTACTTTGTTTTTAATGAGCTTAAAATAAGCTATAGAATCTCGACAAAGATATTAAGAAATTTGACAAATGGAAAATAGATTTGATTGAAAATAGATTTGATTACGCGTTTCGCCTTTCTAGGCTTCATCAGATCCAAAAACAAAAAGAAAGAAATGTTTGCATGCTTAAATAATAAATCTTTGTACTTTTTTTCCTAAGCACACGTTTTTCCTGAAGAAAGAAAATAAGCTACTTTATAAAAAGCCGTTAATATTTATTCTGTACCTTTTCTACATAATTGTTAATTTCTGTCGAAAGTAAAAATATTCATTATTTAAGCATACACACAAATACACATGCATACACACATTTCCTTCTGTCGTTTTGGGATCTGACGAAGACTAAAAAGGCGAAACGCCTAATCAAATCTAGTTTCAATGAAACTTTTCCCACTATTTACATTATTCGGACTATTCTCCTCATCTTTGTCGTCATATTTATTACAACGTTTCGGCCGTTGTACGATCCAGCCTTTTTCAGGTGGTTGGAATGTCGAACTGAACCCTTTATTTCGCTCACTGGTGTAGACTGTTCTAGTTCTACGTGCCATCTCCTCTTAATTTCCCTCTCCAAGTTCTCCACCACCTTAACCAGGTATGTGAGTTCAATACCTGTTGACATCTGTCTTTTCATCTGTTCAAGGGTCATCTGTCTTTTCATCTGTTCAAGGGTCATTTGTATATTCATCTGTTCTATGGCCATCTGCCCATTCTTTTTTTTCTAGGTCAATCTACACTTTCATCTGTTCTAAGGCCTATCTGTGCTTTCGTCTGTTCAAGGTCCATCTGTCATTTCCTCTTTTTGTTTTATGAACCTGACCGGAATTTTTCTCATCGGAAGAAAGCCAGAATTTGAGGGGTTCTGATAATGTTAATGGTAATATTAGCCGTTTCCTTATAAGGAAACATATGAAATTCATTGACCGAGCAGCCAGTGCTATTGTCCATTGAAATTTATAAAATCTTTCTATTAAAACCAACTTTCAGTAGAATAGGTTTCTCAAGTTCACTGTTATTTCTATTTCCAATATTGATGAAGGTTTCCTTCTTAGCCTTTTGTTTCAAGTTATGTGGAATATCAACATCTTAATTATTTGCTTTTTGAGTTCCATGTGCTATCCAATGTGGTGTTGTCGCTGTTAAAAGTCCTCAAGTAATGTGGTTTCTATTATTTTGTCGACGTCCATGTTTGCGATTGTGTAGCGCTGGGACCAAGAGTTTCGAAGATGGTTTGGTTGTATTGTGTTGCTGGTATTAAAAAATATTTTTACACGTTTTGACCTGGGAAAACTGTTACAAATTCATGACGGTCGTCTTCGAGTATAGAATCCAGAGGTTGGCAGTGAATATTTCGGAGACAGTAGGAAAGCGTAGTGGAGGTTCGCAGTGGATATCGCAGCAAAGTAGCAGAGCGTAGTTCTTCCGTCTGTCATGTTCGCCTGACTTGTTGGCTCTGGTCATTCCGGTAGGATAAACAAAGATGGCCGCCTTTATACACGACGGATACAGTGTTCTGCGGCTTCTGATTGGTTAATCTTCTATTGGTAGACTATAAAGGGACTTAAGTCATTTTGACTCGCTCACTAGTTATGTACATATATACACAAAAACTGTAACAAACACTAGCAATCAAGAGATGGTCTCACGCTCCTCAAAACCTCGTGATCAGAGGTCTTGCTGTTGGCCGTAGTTTTTCGTCTTACCCAAGACGATCGAGGAAGGATGGTCCTCGCTAACACCTACATGCTTCATTCTTTCGAAGCCCTTTTAGGCATTGACCTGATTAATCGGCTGTATACAGTTGACAGTTTAGATATTTCTGAATAAGTTTGGCAAAATTCATGACAACCATATGAATGTCCTGATCTGACGGAGCCATTTATCTTAGGATTTTACGCTAATGTTCTGTTTTTTTAGCAATTTGCAGTGTTAGGTAAATCTATCACCTTAAACTACCCCTTATATGGTGGTGGGAATTGCACTTGTTGGACAGGTGCATCGGATCACATACCTTCCCCAGAGTGTTTCGGACATGAACTGCCTTCTTGTCACGTAGGCCTTGTTCCATACATAGGGATTTAGCAGTTTAAACTTCGCGGCGATGATCATCATCTATGTGCTATGGTCGTGTTTGTTGATGCCCTGAACCTGTTAAACAAACCCGACCGTGCTTACAGTCTCCAACAGCTTAAAATGTTTCTTAGGTTTTACCTTAGATAACACGTTCACAGTAGAGCCACCACGAAGGATCTCGAATTTCTCAAGACACTAGTGTCACTGGCTGGGGTAGACGTTGCCATGTCAATACCTCTGAAAGAGAAATGAGAACACTATAAATTAGCACACGGCACGTAGCATTATGTTAGGCCATGTGACATATATGGCCGACAAAATGTGTGTTCATAGATACCTGGCGCATCTAGCAAATTATTCTTTTACTTTTCGTTCTTACTCTCATTTTTTTTTTATTTCTTCTTTCCATTCCTATTTGTTCAAATTACTCCGTTACTGTCTTATTTGCGTAAAGATGGGTGCGCCCTGATAACTTAAAACACTCCCCACTCCATAGATCGGTTCATTGGCCTTACATTAAGGTTTTTGTAAACAAGCAATATCCGGTTTGGTCACATTTTATCTATCTATCTATCTATCTATCTATCTATCTATCTATCTATCTATCTGTGTCTGTTCATATCTACCCATCTATGTATGTTCATTATCTATCTATCTTTGTTCATATCATATATATCTATATATATATATATATATATATATATATATATATATACATATCGATCTATCCCTAATTCATTTAAACATATATATATATATATGTGTGTGTGTGAGTGAAAAGTGTATATAAATATAAATATATATATATATGTATAATTATTTATATATTATATGCGCGGTACTTATTAGAAAGCGCTCAATATCAGAGATAGAGCTAACATATTTGGTTGGATAGATGTGAGTTTGTGACCCTGGGTTTCACGCTTTAGCGATCGTCAGACAAACTGATTAATGTTTTAAAAAATTTGGGTTTATGTAGATTGCGTGTATTGGTGTTATTGTGGAAGTGGTGGGGGAAATTTCGTCGTTTTGTCATTCATCGTACTAACGCAAACATCGATATATATATATATATATATATATATATATATATGTATATGTATGTATGTATAGACATGAACAGATATATAACGAATAAACATACTTTTCTTATAATTAACTGTACACAAATGTATAATAACTAAATATGCATAGAAAACAGAAAAAATATTTTAATTTAAATAAATTACATTTATCCATCAATGGGTGAAAAAGTGTTCGTACAATACAAATTTCAGATTTCAAAATATTTAAATTGCTTTAATATACTAGATTATTCAAGGGAAAATTCTAGAATCTTCCTATAATGTTATCGGTTTTTTATTTTTAAAACTAAAAAATACAAACAGAATATTCTGTAATTGATATTCGTGCAAGAAGGTTATCATCATGTTAAGAGGTAAAGAATTGACAAATTCGCAAAAAGAATTGATTGTTGAACACGGGAAAGAAGGTAAAAGTTGCAGGGAAATCTCAGAGAACCTGAAGATTTACTCAAAACTGTTGAAAACCAAAGAACAGCTGCTCTAGGGAAGTCTTCTGCAAGGTCTTGGAGGAAATTAATGCGTCAACTTAAACAAAATCCAATGGTTACTTGTCCAGAGTTGTCGGATGATTTGCTTTCAACAGGAATCTGTGTCACTAAACGCACAATAAGCAATGAAATTCATAAGAACAATTTAAATTCACGCTCCCCTCGGAAATCTCAACTGCTATTGAAAAGTCACAAAGATGCCAGATTAAAATTTGTTCGTGAACATAAGGATAAAGAAAAATTGTATTGGAGAAAGAGTTTTATGGGCAGACGAAATCAAAACTGAGTTGTTAGGGTGTAATTCTAGAAATCATGTATGGAGGAAAGATGGCGATGTCTTCAAAAAGAACACAGCTTCAACAGTGTAATTTAAGGTGACGGCATCATGGTTTGGGGCTGGGTTTTTTCTGCAAAGGGTACTGGTAACATATCAGTAATAGATGGTAGAATGAATGCCGTAGAATATCAACATATTATGGAACCAAATTTAATGATTTCGATTGAAAATCTTGAACTTCCTCCTGATTGTACCTTACAAGATAATGACCTTAACCACACTGCAAAATCTATGAAGAAATGGCTTGCTTAAAATAATGCAAATATCCTGAAATTGGCAAGTCAGTCCCTAGATGTAAATCCTATCGAGAATCTGTGACGTTAATTGAAAATTCAAATTCAATCGAAAGCTCTGACAAACATCTCGGATCTGAAAACAGCATATAAAAAAAATAAGAATGGAACAAAATACCAACTAAAATTTTCTAATCATTGAGAGCTACAAGAAGAGGTTGGTTGCTAAAGAAGTGAATAATGGCTATTCTAAAAAGAATAAAATGAAGATTAGATGTTCCTTTTTTGTATTGCACGAATACTTTTTCACACGTTAAAATGGATAAATGGGATTTATTTCTATTAAATCATTTTTTGTCTGTTTTCTATGCATATTTACGTATTATACATCTGTGTATAGTTAATTATATGAAAGATATGTTTATTCATTAGTTGAAAATACAATAAATTAAAAACGAATATTTGTTCCCCATTTGTGTGTATATATATATATATATATATATATATATATATATATATATATATATATATATATCCCTGTCTGTTCTTATCTGTTAGATCATTCATATCAGTTCATTTATAACTGCCTTCTCCGTTCATAGGTGTATATCTGTCATTCTATTAAAGTTCATTTTTATCAATCTCTTGGTACGTTCGTTTCTATCTCAGGTCGTTTATATTTATTCAGCTCTATAATGTACTCTTCATATCTAACTCCCCCTTTAACTGTACCGACTGTATTCACATACACACACATATATATATATATATATATATATATATATATATATATATATATATATATATATATATATACACACACACACAGAGACACGTGTATAGGCCCGTTTTATTATATTTGTGCGTTCTCGCTCCTTCCTGTATTTCATTTTTCTCAATGTCTATCAATCATCATTTGGATCAACGATAAATCCATTGCAGTATTTAATATCAAATATTTCAAAGGACGGGCACTGTTTTCAAAATTTCTTTTAATATACTTTTAAGCTTAATATATATATATATATATATATATATATATATATAGAGAGAGAGAGAGAGAGAGAGAGAGATCGATAATATTATTGGTCAATATAAATATATATAATATATATATATATATATATATATATATATATATATATATATATATATATATATATATACAAAATATATAAATATACATGTATATAAAATATATAAATAAATTTTGAATATATAAATAAATTTTGAATATATAAATACAATGTGAATTTGTATGTTTGATGAATTGGATCATGGTTGCGATTCCAATGTAATAAATTATAACCACAGAATATTTGTGTTTGAGCTTTTTATTATATATATATATATATATATATATATATATATATATATATATATATATATATATATATATACTTTCGTTTCCATCATATCTAAGCTTAAATTTACCGTTAACACATCAATAACTATTATTAACATATTAATAATAATTAATATAACAGTTATTATCATTATCAGCATAATCGCAATCATCAACACACAAGCAGTTAGTGTTGAAAATACAATCATCATCATCATCACCATGCGCACAAACAAAAGCCAGCTGAACCAAAAGAGTCAGACCAACTGGAGTGTATGTGCGCGTCTCCATGTGTGTATGGGTGTGCGAGGAAGTGTAAGTTTCTCTGATGGCGGTAGATTGAAAAGAACATCGCTACATATATAAAAGCTACTGTCTCGACACCGAAATAGAATTACAACTGCGTATGTATGTGTGCCCGACCGCACGGATGTATATCTGCGCCTAGCCTCGGTTTGTTTCTATGGATGTGTTTGTGTGAACAAATATGCGTACACCTCTATTTATGTGTGTCTATGAAAGTGTCACCCCAATCAAACACAGAAATAAATTCCCCCTCCCACCGCCAAACATAGTCAAACAAGAACAAATCTCTCTCTCTCTCTCTCTCTCTATATATATATATATATATATATATATATATATATAAAGTGAGAGAGATAGAGAGAGGGCTATCGAAATACAAACTTTTACAAACTTTTGGGAGCTGGTTCACACCAAAAGAAAGACAAAAGTGCACATAAACCCTTGTTCGCAAATCCTTTGTTCTTGAGTTATTAAGTTTAAAGTTTACGGTAGACGCTGTTAAATACAAAATCCAAGATACAAACCAAAAATGCTTATTACCATAGTGTGTGGTGCCATTGATAATGTCTCATGTGACGACAAACAGCAGCAAATGTTGGATGACTCGGCTGTCTTCGGTCTGGAAACGCAATCTGATACAGCCGTACACCCTCGCGTCCATTACCATTCGAGCGGCCGTATGCAAAAATCATATCTGCCTGGTCACGATATGAATATTCTGGCATTGTTAAATGGAACACTTCTCAGTAAACTCACTACTATACACTTTAAACGTTGAAGACAGAGTAGCTACAAATGTACACGAATGACAAATATAACCTAGTCTATATGAAAATACAGATCCATCTACCGTAAACTTTCTTTTATATTTTATAACTCAAAAACGGACGATTTGCGGACATATGTTTATATGACCTTTTGTTTTGTTCTTGTTTAGTGTGAGGAATTCGCCCCCAAAGTTTCTAAATGTATTTTTGATACACTCTGTACACACACACACACACACACATATATATATATATATATATATATATATATATATATATATATATATATATATATTACTCACCAGAAGAACATCATTGTGTTTTCTGCAATTTAATTGCCAGGTACTGATTGAAAACTGACCGTGGCATAATTTATATATTGATAATTGATATTTACAGCGAAATGTAATGAACTGAAGCAGTCCATTTATTTACGGTGGGGGTAATAAAATAATGTAATATATAGATATAAAAACTAATATGCATATAGACACACCATCAAATACGCATATACGCATCCAATATGTAGTTTGAAATATAACACAAATGTACACACAAATATCAAGACATATCCACATATACAATATATATATATATATATATATATATATATATATATATATATATATATATATATATATATATATTGCGTGTATGTGTATTTAGGCAACATTTTTTCATTCATACATAATATTCATTCAGTCATTTGATAATGGCTTATCTAAGCCGAAAGCATAGATAGGATTTAAAAAATATGTACCAATATTGTGATTTTCTTTCTTCGTTTAATGATAATGCTATTAAGCTCATCAGACGTTATGAAAAGAATTTACATAAAATAAATAGACAAAACTTGTCTATATTATTTAATGAAACATGTATGAATATACATACACACACATATATATATATATATATGTATATATATATATATATATATATATATATATATCACATTTAAATTAATATACAAAGATGTAAACTAAAATTTATTATATATATCAACATATCAACTTGTTTGCTATTGCATATATACAAAATGTAAATACATACACGTGGGTTAAATACATGCAGACGTTTTATATATATATATATATATATATATATATATATATATATATATATATATATATATATATATATAAAAAAAAAGAAGAAGTGCCGCAAACGTTTTTGGTTTGTAATATGGATTTATTTAGAAAAAATATTATGCTTTGTTTTACATAATTTTACTTTTGTATTGATTGTATGTGGATTGTGTGTAGAACTTTTTGTGAAATTCTGGTTGTACTTCTGGATATAGGTAATGGTTGCCTGGTTTGGTTTTGTTGTGCTAGGTGGTATTTGTACAGAGTTGGTTGTGTGAATGTGTGTGTGTTCTGATCTTTGACTGTTTTTGTTATGGTGTGGTGGTCTGTACAGGTTTATTTTGCGCTGTTCAGTGTATGTTCATAATTGTATTTTTTTGTGGGTGTGAATGTGTGTGGTGGTGGTATGTATTGGGGTTTCCTGCTTTGTGTATGTGTTTGCGTGTAGTAGAATGTGTTAGGATAATTACTTTGTGAGTTTGTTTGTGGATGTGTTTGTATGGTAGAATGTGTTGGTGCTTACCTTGTGGGTCTGTTTGTGTGTGTGTGTGGGTGGGGTAGGGATTCGGGTTTTTGAATCTGTTGGGTGGTTTTTCTCTGTATTTGCTGATGATTGTTTTGTGTTGGGTATTGGGGGTTTTTGTGAGTTTGGACTGTATTTTTTTTTTTTGTCTCATTTTCCAATTTTTCTTTACTTGGTAATGCTTTTAACCAGGTTATCTTGCTTTCCAAGATATTCCGAGATTTTTTCTTCCTCTTTTTTACATTTTGACTCCCATAATTCAAACAGGAATTGGTGAGTTTCTTTGGTACATAATTCCTTGATTTTTGTTAATAATTTGTTATCAATCTCTGTGTATTTCTTTGTAAAGTTTACTGTTTTGTCTTCTTGTATTTCAATTTGGGCCTGCATTTTTGTTAGGCTTATTGTGTTTTTTATTTGTTTTTGTTTTTCCGTGTCTTGTGGGTTAATCTTTTCGCGGAATTTCCTTGGAATAAATATTTCATCCATTTCTATGAAGGCTTTGTATATTTTTGCTGTTTCTTTATTTTTGATGGCGTTGAAATATGCCAGTTTTCTTTGATTGAGCATGTCGTTCCAAAGTTGGAGATTCTGTTTTTTCATTCGGTACGCTTATATATATATATATATATCCAGGTAAGATGAGAACGAATAGAGTACTATACCAACGTTCGTAAAATTTAATTTAAAAGAGAGCTCAATACAAAATAGAGCAATATTATTTATTTTAGGACATTACACCGAATACATGTCAAAATCGCTACACAACTGAAGTCGTGTTTCGATGTGTGTCAATGTATCTCATCAGGTTTGATGAGATGCATTGTTATGCATCGAACTTCTCGGCCACATACATACATACATACATACATACATACAAATGACAAAATATACATGCATACAAAATACATATTAGTAAAAGTGTATAAACATACAAACAGGCATTATGAATACTATAGCGAACATGTTGATCTATAGATAAGTATTATAAATAGTATTTTTTTACATTTTAGTATGTATGCGTTTGTGTATATTTTTTAAATTCAAGAACGGTCATAGATATTTTTCAGTGTAACTCTGAATATCAAGGTAACCTATTGAGTTTGCTAAATGATGTCATGTGATGTGGCTGATAAATGAAAGGGAATAAATATTACATCGAATGGATTAAACCGTCAAATAATGAACAGGCCATATATTCTGCATGAACGGCGACAAACTCTGAAATCGAACCTTTTACAGTTAACTTATCACTGACCAAAGACTGAAAACAAATTGTGAAACAAAGCTATAATTATCAAGAGAAGTGAGGGACACAAATCGACTACACTGGCGTCAAACTATTTTGACTGTTCAAATGTCGAAGAATAATGAAGAAAGATAATTCACAAACCAAACTCGGATCGGCTCCAACGATCAGATTTTTTACATGTGGTGGCCATTCGTGTAAGGATCGGTCTTGCCAGAATTTAGGAAGAATACGTTTAGCACAGGAATGAAATAGTCACAAACAAGGAACAGCTGAAGTGCTAGATTTTATTATAAAAATTGTAAAAATGGCAGTCTAATATTAACAACATTTACTGGTCTGAATATCCGAGAAATTATCATAGAAGTCGAACCTGTATCTCATACAGAACCGTCATATAACCTGATGTGCTTTTTACCAAGGAAGCCACAGAGGAGAGTTTGGGTTAGTAAAGGTCGATTTTACTGTTTTAAAACTACAATACCCATGATTTGCTCAATGCGTATCCAATGTTTATATATTCATTTTATAGATAAAAATATAATTTCTCGGACATTCAGGCCTGTAAATGTTGTTAATACTCTTTATTATAAACAGAGCATTTACTTAAATATTTGTATCTATAAAACGAACCTATATATATATATATATATATATATATATATATATATATATATATATGTTAATCATTTCACCACAAGCAAGACAACAAAGCCACTAAGACGCAGGGTGTTAGTGAGTTTGAAAGAATATAAGAAAAAATTAAACTAGAAAAGGAAAACTAAGGAGAGAGAAAATAATGATTGACACTGCATTTAATTTCTATAAGATCAAAGTCGGCTTGACAGCAAGGAGTCGGGTGAGATTTCAACACGTGAGAAGTGCGAGAGAACAAACTGTTAGCATAGAGATGAGGTTATAATTACGGTTACGTTTTGTTGTATGTCTTTTGTTTTTTTTCACATAATCAAAACAGAATAGACCATTATTTATAATGACAAGACGTAACGGTCGTTCGATCTAAAGAATCGAGAGAAGCTCAATTATTATATGATAATAATAACAACCTGTTAACTTTCCCCGCTACCAAAAACGAAACTATTGGAAGGAAATGCAAGTCAGAATTAGAAAGATTATTGGATTTGAGTAATCTAATTTTAAATTTCAAATGACAGTATCGCTAATGGCTCCGTCAATGAATACCGAATGCATTTTCTATGGAAAAGGCTAATTTTAGTATTATTAATACCTGCGCAGGGTATATCGGTCTAGCTGGCCATTAGTATTCGAGAATACTCGATTGCTTAGGTGCATTTGTGTTTATACTGCAATTATACTGTGCAGACCTTAGTTGCAGTTTCTGGGAAAGATCTAGCGAACGATGACTTGATAACACAGCCATCGACGGCCCCCAAGGATTCCGTCTTCACTCGGGTCAACTGACGGTATCGTTTTCAGGCACTTTCCAAAGCTGGGATCGAACCCTCCAGTCTTATAACTCCTTCCTGACAAATCGAGATTCGAACCCGGGTCTCATGATTAGAATGCGAACATTCTAACCACTCGGCCACGTGACCATAGCACAGTGGGGGGGAGTAGTGGAAAAACGAGTAAGGGTCAATGAACATCAGCGGTTAGCAAAGAAAACTTGCAGCCTATTAATACTATAGAGTCTATAGTATTTATAGCCTGCAAGTTTTCTTTGTTAACTGGCGATGTTCATTGATCAGAAACGTGATATTTGTCCACCTTTCAGTGAACAATTACGAATACGGTCGCGTCTTTTCAATCAATGCCAACGTGTCTTATCCCTGCTCACTGTCCAACTGTTGTGACTTGGGGAGAGACTGAGCTAATCTTCTTTCTTTTTTCTTTTTTTTTTTTTTTTTTTTTTTGAAGCTATTTAGGTCGCTTAGATTTGAATATGTGGTAGTCGTGGTAGGGCGAATAACATCCGGGTTAGAAGAGCTACTTTACTCTTTATGAGCTGTATTGTCATAGTTTTATAATAAAAAAATCCTTGCCGCTTTTTTAAAAAAATGTTTGTCTTTTAGTCTGTCTCCTGTTAAGCCAGAAGTTCACAAAAGGTCGGCGTGCCTCATAGGTGCGGCTGATATCAGGTGAAACGGAATGATTGAAATACAATCAAAGGCTTAGAAACAGCTTCAAAAATGCATATGCCATAAATTAATATGATTTCAACATTTAAAATATTATTATAGATTACTTGCAATTGCATATATGAGTCTCAAGATCACTAAAAACATGGCGTAGTATGACCGAAAAGAAGAGAGTAAAAAGTACAGGAGCCATGACACAACCTTATTTTGTGACATTTGTTACATCGAGGATTTCTGAAAACTTTCCATTAGATAGAACAGATTATTTTATTCCTTCGTGAAACGAGATGATGACATTTAACCCATTTTCAGGTATGCCAAGCTTTTTGAGTATTTTCAGAGGGAATCCCTGTTTACAGTGTCAAACGCCTTTGTCTGATCGACGGTATAGAGTTCATTGTTCTTCTCGTGAAATTTCATTTTCTTGTGGGCTGTACACCTTTTTAAGGCCTTCATAAAATGCTTTGGAATCTTTTCTATCCGCTGCAGCCTGGAGATCCAAAGCCTTAGTAGACCACCATTTTTTTTATTTTCTGAAAGCACTTTGCACTGCCTGCTTGCACTGTTCATATATGCGCTTTTTTGATGGACAATTTTTGTTGTTTATGAATATTTTGTGCAAATCATGCATCTTCTCGATGAGACATTGAACATGAGTATCATTTACATCAAACCAGTCCTGATGCTTCCTTATGGGAAGTCCGAGAACTTCAAGGGAGCTGGAATAAATGGCATCTCTGAGAGATTTTCAAGAGTATTCAATGTCTTCTGAGATCACAAATTAATCAAGCTTCGACTCCACTATGTATGAGAGTTCTTTCTTCTTAACATCAGAATTCAGGGATGAGATGTTGATTCGTTTAGGACCCGTAGTTTTAACGAGAGGTTTCTTGCGTGCGAGTCGAAAGGATTCTTTGCTGCGTAGTAATACATGGTTTGAAAGATAACAAGTGTTGCGGAAAGAACGGGTGATATTGAAGTCTTTCGCGTCACGTTTCTTGGTGATAATGTAATCAATCATATACCAATCTTTGAATCTGAGATGCATCCAAGTCGTTTCATGACGTTTGGACTGCTGATAACGTATGTTGGTGATGGTAAGATCAAATTCTTGGCAGAGAGAAAGTAGTCGTAACACATTAGAATTCATACTACTGACCCCGACAGTGGCAAAGACACCAGGCCATGTCTGAAGTCTCCCATAAGTAAAAGTTTGTCCCCATGTGGAACTTTGGAAATCTTATATACGAAATTATATATATATATATATGTAATAATCCGTTGCCGTATAATCCAAGTGATTCCTTGTAATAACAAATATTAAAATTGAGCCGCAAAAAGAGCTCAATATATTTATTATAGCAGTGTATGTAAATTACATAGAATAGAAATCCAAATTTAGCACATTCGAATAACTATTTCAACCAACAAGACATATATTGGCATTGTCAACTCAGAAGTGCCTATATATATACATGTATATATACATATATCTGTGTGAGTGTGTGTGAGTTTGTGTGTGTGTGTGTGTGTGTAATATGAATGGTGTTTATAGTCGCTTTAGAATTTTTAAAAATAAACTTTTATAAACTGTTTAAAATTACTGTCGACACAATCCCTTTCACGTAATTTTCGTTTTCACCATATGAAAATCGATCGTCAGATGCTTGAGTCACAGGCATCTGCTGACCTGTGAATTCTATGATTAAAACGTTTGTATACGTTTATTTTAAAAATGTTCAAGAGCCATCTTTGATTTTTATATAACGTATCTTTCCACGTATAAGACGACCTATAGATACGACGAAATCCAAAGTCAAAGTTGGGAATAGTAGGTACTGTAATCTTGGATTTGCATGTGGTGTAGTGGGCAGTGGTTCGGATTAGTTAATCGTAGAACTGAGTTCCAATTCCCGTTGGGTTCGTTATACTCACATGCGCAAATAGACTTGGAAAAGGTATGAATTCACAGTTTATTCCCCAGCTATGGGTTAATTAGTAAGACTTGCGTCGTTATCAAATCAAAAGGAATAAAATCATATAAAGTAGTAAGAGAACTTTTACAAATTGCTGTGTAATCGTCTCTTGAATATTGCATCTTAATGTGAAATCAAGAAGTAAAAGTAGTTTTATTACATTTATAATTGTACAAGGTAACCAAAATTTTTGTCCGCATTAGGATGCTTCTAGACTTATTGCTATATATATATATATAATCGTATTACCCAAAACAAGACGATAATGCCATTAGAAAACAGGAAGTGAAAGAAACTATGTATGGTGCAGAAAAGGACAAAAAAGAAAAAGAGGTTGCATTTAATTAAATTGTAGTTATGGAATCAAGAAATCTGAAGCGAGTTCCACAAGTGGGAAGTGCGAGAAATGAAATTGTTGTAGTAGAAGTAGCGGTTGCATCTAGTTAGTTCAACGGTGAGACCTAATGGCCAATCTAGTAACACGCTTAAATTCATTTAGTCGAGGCACCAGGGGAAAAAATCAGAGTTGCCATGAAAATATCTGTAGAAAAGACACAGAAGAGCCATGTCATAGTGTTGAGAAAGTGCTTGATTTTGTCAAAAAACTCGAGATGAGTTGAAGGATTACCAGATATGGCAACAGTATTCAATGCACGGAGAAATGGCAGATTTATAAATGTGCAGAATAGTCTCTGACGTGGAAAAGATTTTGGCACAGTGAGCAAACTTTCCTTGCAGTAAACTTAGCAATTAATTAGCCGTTGCTCTTCAAATCAAATACAGTAGAATGTTGATTGTTCACATATGCTCCTTAATAGGAGTAGATACGTTGGCCTATTGTCCGGTTCACACTCCTCCCTGGTCTTTTAGAGTTTCATCTCTTGTTTCCTATATAGGATTTGATTTCTGGTTCTTTCTAAAGTCTTCTCATTCTCTTTTACATCCAGTAGCCCATTGCGTCTTAGTGGTCCTATCGCCTTGCTTGAGGTTAATAATCTCAACCCTATCGAATATATTTGGCTCATCATTAAACAAAATGTTTTTTTTTATGTCGATGGAAGCCAATTTACATCAAAGTTGCAGCAGAGGCGGTTCAACGTGCCACGATAAAAATTTGATAGATTCCATGACTAACAGAGTTTTGAAGTTATCCGTCAAAATGGCGCTCATGTCTTCAAATAATGCATTATATCCATAAATCATGTAATATTATAGTTTTCTGTTAAATATCGACTCAAGATATGCTTAATATGTATCATCATCTTTCGTTTTCTCCACAAAATGTCTAGATGGGCTATTTTCATTCAAAAGATATTAGTGTGATTCACTGAAAAACTGTCAAATGTTACATATTGTGTAAACCAGCTGGGAAAAATTTTATCAAAATCAATTGAAAGAAAAGCGAGAAACCATAAATCTCACTACAAAGCCATAAGCCTGCTTCGAGGTTTAGACTTAAAAAAAGAAAAAATACATAATAGGTGAAGATGGATGAATTATGTAGATATAGTATGTCCTTGATTTGTATTTAGATACATTGTATTTATTTCCAATTTTTCCAGTTGAATTGTTCGCCTATATTACATATGATGCATTATTGTACATAATTAGGTTACAATAATATTTATATTTTATATGAATATTACCTTATGAAAATTGAGATGTAGTAGAGTATGGGGCCCAGTATTATAAATAGTGAAAGTTACACAAGACCCTTGCAAGGCCATGGGGCATCACCTTAAACAAAAGTTTGGGAAGAAACTCTGACCATTACAAGAAGGAGCAAGAGCAGCTTAACAAGTCTAATTTGTCGATTAAAAAAACTGTTTTAAGAAAAAGATTTAATAAAATTTCCTGTATAGAAACGGCTAATTTTACTACTACCGTTCATCGTCGGGTGTTTCGAAGGTTAACTGGAAATCATCTTCAGAATGGTTCCTCATTTCCGAGTATGGCTATCTGTGTTGCTTCATACTGAAGCGATGTTGATCAGATCTTACTTGCATTTCAAGCATGAGAACCACCAAAGAACACGATAAGATTGGAATTTAGACTTGTTTTTCTCCTTTAATGGTTACCAATCACGGCTAAATGTCCAAGTCCAGTTTGTCCTGCTATTTAACCCATAGTTGGACGCATGATAGATGGATTCATACCTTTCACAAGCTTCATAGTGCGAAAGTGAATTTAACGCTCTGAACCGAATTCGAACTCGGCTCTCTGATTTGTAGTTTCAAATCTCTTACCATCCTTTATTTTCCTATTAGCAATTGTCATTGAAAAGAAGGAAACTTCTGAGGGCGGAAGCTATTAAGGAGTACATAGAATAATGCAGGTGATGGCGATTTCAGGAAAGGAAAAATACATGGAGGCTAGGATAGGTGGGCAGGGTCCCAAGGGTGAGGCACTTTGAAGGTCTTAGTCGGTCCAATATTAATTAGTAATGATATTAAATATATATGAATATTGACTAGCCGGATACTTTCCGGACACCCCTCATTTAATATTATAGCGTAAACGTTCAAGAGAGCTTTGGTAAGCGCAAATCGCACTTAAAAATTGCTAGAAATATATCAAGAAACTGAGATAGATGGAAAGCTGATAGATAAATAGATAGATAATGAAAACTCGACAAATGCAAATATAGGAAGATATGAAACAGACTGATTTTGTTAGCAATCCAGTTAGATATATGAACAAACAAAAAGATAGTTATGAATAGATTTATATAACTGTGTAATTTAGTGTCTGATAG